ATGATGTCGGGGTTGGTGGTCATGGAGCTGAATTCTGCGAACATGTTAGTCTCGTTTTTCTTAGAATTAACCTGCCCGTATACACGTACGCTCTTCAAGACTGTCACCTCCAACGAGCAGAATAGTCCTCAAATCTGTGCCGCGACCCAGCTCCTTCACGACCTTCAACGTCTGCAGTGCCAGTTCTCGGGAGGGCGACATAATGATTCCTCGAGCGCCTACTTTGGCAGAATGCGCCTTGAGTTTCTGGATCATGGGGATGACGAACGCGGCCGTCTTTCCGGAACCCGTCCTGGCCATACCCACGACATCTTGCCCATCGAGCATGAGCGGAACGGCCTTGCGCTGGATCGGAGTTGGAATCTTGAATCCCTTCTGCGTGATGGCCTTGAGAAGCGCCGCGTTCAGCCCCATGGCCTGGAAACCTCCACCTTTCTTAATTGACTTTCCGACATTCGAGGCTTTGCGATTCGAGGCAGCCTGTTTCGCGGCGATAAAGGCTTCGTCGTCGGATCCGTCATCGTGCCCGACGTCCAGATCTACGCCCAGATCTGCGTTCAAATCCGCCTCTTGCTGAACATCATCACCGCCAGCGAGGGCATCGAATATGTCGAACTCGGTTTCGGAGAGCGCCGGCGAGCTCGCGCGGGGAGCCATGACTGATAGATGGTTGGTAGGGCTCGGAGGCGACGTGATGCACTTTGCCTACCTGACGTCTGAAGGTCGCGCCTCCAGTCTGGCTGTTGGAAAATTTCGGGCACGGGCCTCTCGAAATCTTGGCGGCAGGGATGAGCATGGCGCATCTCGTCGCTAGCTTCCACGTGCCCCGCGATGAGGCAGGCGCGTCCGACGCGTTTTGCCCTCACCGAACTTCTGCCATCGCGTCACCCAACCCACACCCACGAGATGAGTATGCAATCCCCTTCTTAACACCATTGAGCCCTTCGTTCTAACCTCTTTAGACAATTACGGCGGCTACGAAACCTCGTACAGCACCACCTCTTACGGCGCTGGCGGTGGTGCTGGCGGAGGCGGCTTCATACCGGGAGAGGGTGGTAGTACACAGAGCCCTGGAGGTCGGCAAGACCGTGCCCAAGATACCCTGCGACCCGTCACCATCAAGCAGATACTTGATGCTCAACTTGAAGCCGGCAGCAACGACGTGTTCAAAATCGACGGCACTCCAATTACTCAGGTATGCACGAGTTCCATGGTCCAACGGCTATACTAACCGCTTCCTAAGCTCACATTCGTCGGTCAAGTACGCAACATATCCAACCAGACTACAAACACAACGTATAGGCTCGACGATGGCACTGGCAGCGTAGAGGTCAAGCAGTGGGTCGATTCCGATGCTGCAGAGCAGACCAACCCTACCAAAGCGAAACTTGTCGAAGGCGCCTACTGCCGAGCATGGGGCAAGCTGAAGAGCTTCAACGACCGAAGATCCGTCGGAGCGACCGTAATCCGTCCAGTCGAAGACATGAACGAAGTCTCCTATCACCTGCTTGAAGCGACCGCGGTACATCTATACTTCACGCGTGGGCCTCCTGGCAGTGCGCAGGGTGGTGCCGCTACGAATGGCGCTGGAGGACAGCAACAAGCGGGAGATGGCGCTAACTACGGCGGCGGATATGATCTTGCCGGTTACACTGCGTCGGCGAAGAGGGTGTTCAACCATCTTAAGACCACTCCTCAGTCCAACGAGGGTCTTAACCAGCACGAGATTGCGGCGCAACTTGGTATGGATACAACCGATGTTGCAAAGGCTGGTGATGATCTATTGTCGGGTGGTCTGATTTACACCACTGTTGACGACCAGACCTGGGCCATCCTCGAGGCTGATTAAGCATGGTGTTTGCAGGCGCGGGACCAAGTGTATGGGCGAATAAGTAGGGGAACAACCAAATATGCTAGTAAAACACTAGCATAGGCGTAACGATTCATCATGATATTTCACATACTGCATTGAAAGCATCCGCAAGATACAATCTATCAAACACGAATTACTTCTCTGCATTCGTAGAGAGAAACAGTATGCACGTCGCAACGATCGCACTTGACACCACGGTGAACACGACCTGCGTCTTCCAACCTGTCTGCACGAGCGCCCGCCGCGTGCTGTACCGGGAGACCGTGTTGATGTAGTTCGACAACCCAGACAACATGCACGCTATCGAAAGAAGCCAGAAGACGATTCCCAGTGGCAACGCGAAACGTTTTTCTGTACAGAGTTGTAAGCATGATGCGATGAGACTTTGTTATTGACTTACCAAGTGGAGTGGGCTCCGACTTGAGATGGAACGACATGACGATGGCAACAGACACGATGGCCATGTACACACTAAGCTTCAGCCATGACAGGAAAGCTGTGATATCTGTTAGCTACGCAATCTTCTTGTACTTTCAGCAGATCCTGACATACTTCGTTCGTTCGCAGCATGATCCCTTGCATCCGAAGACACGTTATCGAACAGCAGCACACCCATCCATGGCCTCTCTCTGAAGGCTACTCGATCGTAGTCATTGTTTCTGAGGCGCACGTTAGGGCTTGAACGAGAATTACGTAGACTAGGTTGCACACACTGTTTAACTAAGATGGGCTGGCCTCCAAATATCTTGTAAAACGGTCGGTACGGCTCGGCTAGGATAGACTTATCTGCATCGCTCATACGCGAAGCATCTCGGAAATCCATGTTTTTCGGATAATATGTAGGACCACTTGGGGTTGCGATGAAAACGCGCTATGGCTAGTGGTATGGGGATACTTGGTCGGCAGACGAATGAGTGTGCTTGTGTGAGACGCCGCACGGACCCCTGCCGATGAGGTCACTACTGCATTTGGACATCTCCAGGGTTTGTGAGAGTTGATACCATCAACACAATCAACGTTTATCGCATTTCAGCAAAAATGGGTAACGAGAAAGAGCTAGTTCTTTTTGGTGGTGATAAGTAAGTGTTTGGGTAATGCACTGTCGCTTTGAAGCTAATGCATGGGCGTGCAGAGGTTGGAAAGCTTCGGATTGGACGGACAGTGATGACCGTGTGAGAGGAGGAGCGTCTCAGGTAAAACCCATCTCTCAAAATGAATGAAATAATTTGATAACTAATGTATGATTACTAGTCCTACCTTACCATCAACGGCTCTTCCGCGCGTTTCCACGGCAATCTCGACATCACCGCTCTCGGCGGCGCCGGCTTTGCCAGTCAACGCACCACCGGCGAGGATCGCACCTGGGACCTATCTACCTACGATGGCATTTATCTCGATCTAGGAAAGCACGACGGCAAGAAGTACACACTAACGCTCAAAGACGAGATTCTGCCGCTTATGGCAGATGGACGGGAGCAATCAACTATCAGCTGGGAGTACGACTTTGAATCGCAAAGCGAGCTTGGGTTGTTCGTGCCATGGCGTGCAATGAAGCCTACGTATCGCGGGAAAGAGAAGAATGATGCGAAGCCAATGGATTTGAAGAACGTCAAGCGGTTTAGCATCATGATGAGAAGGTAACATTGTTCGCCCCACGCAATCACGATTTCACAGCAATTGACGATCAGTAGTTTCTTCGGTACCCAAGAAGGCGACTTCTCGCTCACCCTCAACTCGATCAAGGCTGTTGCGCAACCAGACGATGTCGAGAAAGGGATTGTGAGCGGAGAGAAGGGCACAGGAGTAAGACTTTAACCACGTTACAGTGCTGGTTGGTAGCTAACGCTACGGCAGGGACAGGAGCCTTGGTCGTGGAAGAACTCCAATCTTGTTGGACTAGCGGTCATTCTGGGCTCGACGTGGGCGATCTCTTGGGGATATTGCTGGTGGAAAGGATATGACATGGGCATCATGAGGTTTGGACGGTGGTGGTCTGTGGTGAAGAGGGATACGTTATAGGTCGGGAGTACGCAATCCGTTACATGAAGCGTGAGGTCCAGGCCTGACATTGGATTGGGGGACGAAATGGACTCCGTTGATTTTACAGATCAGTTCCTACATAATTTTGTCGAAAACAAAAATCTGTGTGTATAGTCGGAGTTGGGAATCGTCCGGAAGACTCGATGTGTGAGGAAACTAAGCGCCGCCTGCGGGTGGTGCAAGACCACTCCGTCCTCTACGCAACAAGCTCTCACATCGATGCGTTCAAGTGGTCGGAAATTTCTGTACAGCGATTTTCATCGTTCTTGCTTGTCGGTAATTTGTAGAGCGCTAGGGCCAGTGGAGGTACTTGAAGAAACGCTTGGCTGTATGTTTGTGAGACTAAGCTTGAGTAATCATCAGCACATTTGACTGCACAACGAAGGCTTCCCAGAGACTTGGGCCTCTCCTACCCTTGACGAGAGGTTAGAGTGTGGGCATTTATTGGCGCAGTGACAAGCAGTGCGCAAGAAACGTCCCGCGGACTTAGGATGCTTGACTCCGCTAGTGCAGGGAGACCCACTCCAGTGTGGACCATTCAGCCTGTTCAGGGTGAGCTCCTTCCCAGATCAAAGTCGCCTCAACGCCGCAAAGGAGAAGCGTTCCTCCAACGTCGCTGCAAGGTTGGACAAGCACTGATGTTCATGTCACTCGAGATATTCCGATCCCTCACCTGCACCTCGTCCTCCAGCTTACGGTTGCTGACTATTTTGGCCCCATCGCCACTACATCTCCAATCACCAATTTCTCCGCTGCCAAGCGAGGGACCATGGCCAGACCTTCCCAATTTCGTCGATGATGGGCAAACGTCCGCTCGCGGAAATTCTCAACCAGGCGCTCAGGACCGCAAGGTGGAGAGACCGGGGCGCTTTGAGGCTGCATGAACATGGATTTAGATTGCATCAACTGCAGTAGTGGCAGCCTTGGGGAGAAGATGTTCAATGTCCACAGACGCCGCGCAGTGGCTATAAAGAGCGACGGGCGAACGGTGTCAGATAAAGTATCCGCAAGTGTTCCCGTTTGTCTCCTCAGGGTCCTCGATTTGTTTCCGATATTCCTAGCTTGTCGATAATACCGTTTCGCAACCATGCATCTTACGGCTCTTACCCTAGCTTTGGCTACGACCGCCGTCGCGGCGAAGAACTCCACCCAGCCGTACTCGACATGGATGGCTACTTCCTTTTTGTCCAAGGGCCAGAAGGTCGACAACCACTACGTCTCGTCCGTCATTCGCGAAGGCATCCAGAAAGCCGCCGTGACGCAAAACGACACTGCTCTGCTTGAGTATGCCTCCGAGGCGGTCTCGTCCGTTGTCACCTCGAACGGTACCATCAAGGGCTGGAACGCAACTTTCTACACTTTGGACGATATCCGGTTTGGCAACAACATCCTCTACTTCTGGAACTCGGAAGGACGCAAGGACGAGAAATACGTTGTTGCGGCCAAGGGCCTCCGAGAGCAGCTGAACCGATGGCCGCGCACCCCCACCGGCGGCTTCTGGCACAGGGCCCCGACTTACGAGAACCAGATGTGGTTAGACGGCATCTACATGGCTGATACCTTCTACGCGACCTACACATCGTACTTCGAGCCCAACAACATCACAGCCTGGAACGACATCGAGTTGCAATTCGACTTGATTGAGGAGCACTGCCGAAACGAGACAACCAACCTTCTGTACCACGGCTACAGCGAGGACAAATCGACTGTGTGGGCTGACCCAGAGACTGGTGCCTCCCCATACGTCTGGGACCGTGCTCTAGGATGGTACTTCGTTGCGCTGGTTGAGGTTCTAGAGGTCTTCCCCAAGACACACAAGGGCTACTCTAAGCTCGTCGACTACTTCGTCACGCTCGCCTCCGGTATCAACGACGTGCAAGACACCAGCGGCGGATGGTGGTTGCTCATGGACCCGGAACTTGCTAGAAGGGAAGGCAACTACATCGAGTCGAGCGCAACCGCCATGTTCACCTACGCGTACATGAAGGGTGTCAGGCTCGGTTTGTTGGAGAAGAAGTACCAGCAGACTGCGTCCAAGGCGTGGGATCTGATGTTGGACGAGTTCATCCAGTACGAGAAGAACGGCACCATCAGCTTCACCGGCACGGTTACTGTGGGAAGTTTGAAGGGCGATGCGTCGTACGAGTACTACACTGGTGTTGAGACCCTGACCAACGATGGTAAGGGTGCTGGTGCGTTCATGTACGCTGCCACCGAGATGGAGTTGGCTGGACTCGAGTAAAAGAGGGTATTTAAACTTCGTTGTATATATTATAGGCATCAGAATTGACTCCAAGAGCAAGTTTTTACATGAAGTCGACATAAACTTTGGTTCAGTAAGCACGATCATGGATGCAGCATGTTTCTCGCCGTGACCTCGGAACCATACGCGACGCTATCCTCATCAAGCCAAAGCGCGCGGCATCTCCCAAATCCCCAAATCCAGCAAGCAACACCAACTACACGATGCGAAAGTACAACCTCGACTTTTACCAAAGGCCCTTATACAAACATCTCTTCCAAGCAAGAAAACTGCCCACGCTGTGATTGCACCTCGGCAAGCAGCTGCCGAAAGGGCCGTCACGACTCCAAAAATAACCCGTCGAACGCGGGTCCCCTGAGCAACCAAGTGGAGCCATGAGCCACCGCCCCGAGCAACGCGCCACTGCCTCATGTCAACAACTGGGCCTTGGAACCAGAACAGGGCAGAGCCATGGCCTCATGGATCTTGCTGGAAGTATCGTGTGACGTGCTTAGCGGCTAAGCCGTTGGCACTGGCTCTGGCTCTGCGGATATTTCTTGACCGTTTAATCGTCCCTGTTTGCTAGATCACTAACAATTCTCCGACTACTTACCTATACATTGCAGTGAACAAGAGAACGTTGGTACTCGCTGTCAGACTACTACAATACCTACGACTGTACCCAATGTAAGTCCTTGAACATCCTTTATGCATCACCTTGCTAACCACCACTCCAGTAATCCAGCCTTCAAACCTCACCTCCACCTCACCCAAAATGTCCCTCATATCCTCCGCCGCCTCTCCAAGCGCAACAAGCACCTCGTGCACCACAGCCGACTTCTCCGTCTTCCCCACACAAGACATATTCTGCGGCGTAGGCAGCACAACGGGCGTCGCGTCCAACACCTCCTCCGCACTCAAACAATGCTGCAAAGACGCACCGGTCGAGGAATTCAACGGCTCCTGCGGATACTACTGTCTTAGTTACGAACAGACGGTTGCTGATCTAAGGACTTGCTTCATGGACAACGGGGTTAATCCGAGGGATATCCTTTGCTCGGGGAATAATACTGCGAGTGCGACGGGCACGCCTAGTGGTGGTGCGAGTCGCACGGGTAGTAGTGGTCCGGATGCTACGGGCGAGGATGGGAAGCCGGATACGGGGGCTGCGGTGCATGTGGGTGTGTCGAAGACTGCGGTGGGTATGCTGGGCATGCTTGTAATGTCGGCGTTTGCTGGTGCGCTGTTGTAGGGTGCTATCGCAGTGATGATGGATGTCTACGATGTGGTTGCTGCTTTACCTTTCTCGTTCAAGCATAATACCAGATAATTTCTTACTCTCCACATCTCAAGTCTCCTGATTACATCTTCTCGAAAGTTGTTGCAGAAGCGTGGCTTACTCACCATTACAGGCTGTCTTCGTTGTGCCTCCTGCTTACACGAATGACCGCCAATCACCGCTTCGGAGAGACGAGTTTCGCGTACAATGGTTGGCATACGCATGCCTTGGCGGTTGTGCATTATTTATCGATCGATGTCTCCGTATACGGTCTCATCATGCGATTGGACTTCACACTACAGGTCATGGGTGTCTATTGCCTACCGACACAGTGGTAATGCAACTTACCCCGCCAGACGTGTAACCAGAGCCTGCATGTAGAAGAGAGCGATCATACGTCTAGTGAAGAAACAAAGGGTATATATGGCGAGGTTCGATGCCATTTCAGTCTGCCTTGTTGGTGGGACAACAACGTGTTTAACCCACATCTGAACCATGGGTACTTTAGCTGCAATAAGCATCGCCATCTCAGTCATAGGGCTCTACTACATCCTCATAATAGGACGTCGAGAAGCCCATCTACCACCCGGTACCTCCCTCTCCATCCCTGGTCCCATCCTACCCCATCCTATCCCAAAGCTAACCCACCCATCTAGGCCCACGTCCCCTCCCCCTCCTCGGCAACGTCCTCGCCATACCCACAAAAAACGCCCAATTCCAATTCACAAAATGGGCCTCCCAATACGGCGACATCTACAGCCTCAAGCTCTTCCACACCACCACCATCGTCCTCAGCTCCCGGCGCCTCGTCCGCGAGCTCATCGACAAAAGGGGAACGACATACAGCAGCCGCCCACCCTTCGTCTTTGCAACAAAGTACATCGCGCGCGATCCCGCGAATATGCCTCTAGTGGTCTTCATGCCGTCGGGCGAGAAACTGAGGTTATGCCGCAAGTTACTGGCGCAGTGTTTCAACGAGGCGAAAGTAGAGAAAGAGTACATCGGACTTGTGGACGCGGAGGCTAGCCAGATGCTGTGTGATTTTGTGAAAGAGCCCGAGGAGTTCATGGAGCATACACTGAGGTTCGCGAATAGCACTATCAAGAGTCTAGTTTACGGAACAAGAACGAGACATGCGGAGCAGCTGGAGGAGTACAAGTCTTGGTTTGACAAGTACGTTGCGTTGCTTGAGGTTGGTGCAACACCGCCGGTCGATTTGCTACCGTGGTTGGTGCATGTGCCACAGGGGCTGTGGACAGGACGCTGGAAGAATTGGAAGGATAAGAGCGAGGAGACTTCGAGGGCGGTTAATGCTGCGTTTACGCAGATGGCGGAGCCGGTATTGGAGAGGAGGAAACGGGGTGTGCGTGCAGCGACTGTATATGACTATGTGCTTGATGAGGGCGAGAAGGGGATTGATCTTACGAGAAGAGATTTGGATGTTTTTGCTGGGTCGCTGATCGATGCCGGGAGTGACACGACGGCGTCTGCTATACGAGTCTTCATTCAGGCGATGGCTAGGTATCCGGATGTTCAGGAACGAGCACACAGACATGTTGATGAGGTGGTGGGAAGCTTGCGATCGCCCGGGTGGAGCGATGTCGCGAGGTTACCCTATGTCGTGCAGATTATCAAGGAGGTCATGCGATGGAGACCTCTTGCGGCCTTGATAATGCGCTCTACCACCGCTGGTATCCTTCACTCCGCTCGGATCATGAACCAACCGTGGCTAATGTGAAGCAGATGACACGATTGACGGCTACTTCATCCCGAAGGGCACGACTGTTCTCATGAACGTCTGGGCCTTGAACCATGGCCCATGCGATGTCGACACTTGTGAATCCCCAATGTCGGTTTTCAATCCCGATCGCTACGAAACGCGTACGCACACTTCAGCTCAGTACGCAGCATCTCCCGACATTGCCTCACGAGATCACTTCACGTTCGGTGCTGGTCGTCGTATTTGTCCTGGCATGCATCTTGCTGAGCGCAGTCTCTTCGTTGCTATTGCGAAACTACTTTGGGCCTTCGAGTTCAAGGAGAAGTCTGGGAAGCCTATTGATATCGATCCTAACACTGGGTTTATGGATGGTATTGTGAGGACGCCGAAGGATTTTGAATGCGAGATACGGGTGAGAGAGGGACGCGAGGGAGTGCTTGAAAGGGAATTTGCGGAGGCGAGAGATGTGTTGGTGAAGTATGAGTTGTGAGAGAGTTGTGATTTGACGTCGTGTGGCCCGAGAACCTTGGAAGCCTGGAGACAATGTCGTTAGCCCTACAGCACCTAGGATGCTAGATTCATGTCGCATTCACCAGAACAACCACTAAAGGCGATGCCCAGCTAGAAGGTCACATTATCTCATAGAATGTTTACTTGTCAAGAAATAGTAGTATGCGTTCGACAAACCTGAGCAACGCGATACGAATTGCACCCCATGTTGGCTTACGTGAGACAGCCACGATATCACAGCCAAGTTGCATCGTGACATCCAGCGCCAACATGCTCTTGATTTCTACTTGTCGAGGCTCTTATCCAACCCATTCAACGGTATATCACGGCGCCTGAAGTTCTCGACCTGCATGAGACTGCCCAATCAAGCCTTGAGCCCACCACACTTGCCGTGCATAAGAGTGTGCATCGTCACCGCCGTCCAGCACAAGAAGTCGTGCTGCAACACACCGCATGGCGCCTGCCCATACATATCCAGGCATTTGAAGGCGCAAATGCTGTCGAGCATCCCACCACACTTCACAGCTTCCCGTGCGTGAATAGGCGCCGAACGTCAACAGACATACCTATCGCTAAGGTCATCACATCATCATTTCGCACGTTTCGAATCAACAGCTATACCTATAGACAGAAGCCGCTACAATATCGTCGTCTCGGCATCTCTCCGAGCCTAGCAACGGCGCACATCCCTATCGCCTTCCCTGTCGCACTCTCTATCGCAGACGATCATCATCGCCCGACCGTACCATGCCTGAGGACCCGCGCCCATCCTCAAATGAAGAGAAGAGACTGTCTGGGCCCCCCTATAGTATCAAGGGGCAGCTCTTTGCTATTTCCGGGGCAGGGTCAGGCATCGGACGTGCGACGGCTACGCTGCTGGTTGCGAGCGGCGCAAAGGTCGCGCTGGGGGATAAGAACGAAGAAGCAGTGTCGCAGCTCGCGAGGGAGCTTGGGGCGAGTGCGATATGGGCGAAGGTGGACGTTACAGTCAGGGAAGAGGTAGAGCATTGGCTGGCGCATGCGCCAACGAGGTTTGGGTTGAAGCAAATCGACGGTATGCCAACGTCCTGTCTTCAACGCATGAATGTGTCTGGCGAAGTCGACATCTGCAGGAGTGCTTTGACTGACGTGGGCACAATGTAGGCGCAGTAAACCTCGCAGGCATCTCAGGTCGACTCGAAACTGCGGCAAAATTCGACGCCGCCGACTACGAGGCCGTCTTCGCAGTCAACGTCCGCGGCACGTTTAATTGCATGTCAGCCGAGCTGCGCAACATACGTGTGGCAAGTTCAGGTGTGCCAGGCGGGTCGATTGTGAACGCGGCGTCGATAACAGGGCTTGTCGGCAAGCCAAAATGCTCCGTCTATTGCGCCTCGAAGCATGCCGTCGTTGGGCTCACAAAAGCTGCCGCGAGGGAGCAGGAGCACACTGGAATCCGCATCAACGCCATCGCACCGTAAGTTCTTCTTTCCACCACTCAAAGGAACTCTCTCCGTGTTCTCCTAGGTCGTTCTTTCGCGCGCGCAATGGTGCCACTGGAGGAGAGCCGGTCGCTGACGTTGACACTACTTTAGAGGCTTTGTCAACACACCCCTCATGGACGCCCTCGATACAGAACTTGGCTTCCAACTCCCGAACAACGCCGTGCTCGGCCGACGCGCCGACCCTATTGAGATAGCGAAGATAATCCAGTTCCTGCTAAGCAGCGACGCGAGCTACGTTACTGGCTCTGTGTGGCAGGTCGATGGCGGCATGCTGTGTTGAGTTGAGATAAGGGAAAAGAAAGACGTGCAGACGCGAATTGGTGTTGCAGAAGCGAGAGTGGGTACAAGGAGAGTTCGCTATACACGCTCTGGGGTTAGTTTGGGTTTCTACGATGGGTGTGGAGTATTCCCACTTCAGGAAGACGACGATGGTGGAAGCGAGGCAAGCTTATGCTTACTTGCCGAGATGTCATACAACTGTCTTTTTCAGCCTTACAAAAAGAAATGTGATCTCCGTCGTTGAGCTGGGTACACATGCCGCAGACTCGTACCAAAATTAAGAGAGTCGACGTTAATGCGAGTCCCGCACGCATGTGCTATTCTGGGAAAGGGTACCTAGGTAGTTGCAATTCGTTTTCCTCAGATACACGAGAGGCGTTGTGGAGTTGGAATTGTCAGCATTGAATTGCTTTTTGGTTACTATCGATAAAGACGCGCCGACACTTTCAATGATGGCATGATCAGACAATGCACGCTCGGTTGCGGACTGTTGTTAGACAAGCGGTAGTGCTCTACTTACGCGTCAAGTGCCGCTGCATACCCCTTCTAACAGGGCAGCGATCTGCACCCCAGCCGTGCTGCTTGCGAATCCGCGGCTCGGAAGGTATTGCGCCAACCTTAGAGTTTGTAGATCTCGTTTTCGTGGCAGGTACGGCTAGAAGTAAAAAAGCAAGAAAGCAATGAGTCGATCTCGGAGAGACTGCCTAGTGTCTCGCTGAGTTTCCCTGGCTGGGCAAAGTGCTACTTTCTTGCTTCTTGTCGCCTGAGTGAGGTTGGGGAAGAGGGAGGGTTGGAGCAAAGTTAGACTAGTATCAATGCCGCGGACCCGAACCAAAAGTCGAGCGAAGGCGTTGACCCGGCCTAGAGATCGTGAGCCAAAGTCCATACCACCCCCATACGTGCGGGATGCACCGACGTCGAACCAGTGCTCAATGTGGTTTTCTAATCATCAAGTGCCATGACATCGAAATAACGGCATGGGCAGAAAATAGTAGCCTCGAACGCAGTGTTAAATGTCTCGTGGTATTTCATTTCACAAGCGCGAAACTCTAAATCAACAGAATAGTTCCCCTGCCAATCACAGGCGCCGTCATCTCCCCATGGACCTGAAAACCTTCTCCCGACGAGGATCAGTGGGCAAGGCTTGAATGACGACAGAGTCGAGCTCGCGATTCGATCCGTTCGAGCCAATGCGATCATGGTACTTCCACTCCGACTCCGTGCTTCGGATGGAGAGCGCATCCGGGGACTTTTGTCTCCTGTCGTTTCCCCGCACGCGATCGGCAAGGTTCTGGGATGCGGAGATGAACCAGGGGAGTCTGCCGGCGGGTTTGACTGGGTTCCTGAGTTAGCGGCTGGTATTTGATGATGGGAAAGTGCGGCGAGATGGGATGCGCGATGTGATGAAACTTACTAGTCCAGTATTCACGATTATTTTCGTCTTCGGGAACGATGTATCCGCCGGATATAAGCTTTGTCAAATAGATCATGCCGTTGAGCGCCGTGTACACCATCAAGCCCGCAATAAGACCGTAGGCTGCGCTGTATCCGAATGGGATGAACATTACGGTTACGAAGGCTGGGACGGCGTCGCCGATGTATCGCCAGTTGATGGAGGAGATTTGTCGCATCATCAGGCAACCAACCTATATTTACGTTAACGCTAGCAATATGGAGGTGGTGCCAGGTGACTTACGAGAACCAAAGTGCTTCCAGTAGCCCATGGTGGGATCGAAGCGAAGATAGGTGCGAAGAACATCGAGATGAGGAAGCAGACGCCACAGGTCATGGCAGTCAGTCCTGTTTTCCCGCCCTCTGCAATTCCTGCTCCACTCTCGATGAAGGCAGTGACGGGTGAGCAGCCGAGAAGTGCACCCATGGAGATGCAGAATGCGTCTGTGCAATAGGCTATCGTTGATCGCGGAAAGTCGCCAGTCTCTGCGTCCACCACTCCGGAGAAACGTGCCATGGAATAGAGCGTAGCTGTGCAGTCAATAATGTCAACATATAGGAAAGTGAAAAGAGCGAGTGCGAAATGGCCAGGTGCTGCGTTGACGTTCCAGTCCAGGGCGTTCAATGTGCGGTTGATGGGATGGAAGTCCACGACCTTCTTGAAGAACTCGAAGCGGTTATCGCCGACCTCAGTGTAGGGGAAGAAAGTGACTGAAGTGCCTCGTCTGTATGCATGTTAGCCTTCTGAGCTTGACTGAGATGATGAAAAAAGCTCACGGCCATGAAATGATTGACACAAGCAAGATAGCTAGAATCATGGCGCTCTTGACCTTGTATGTCATCAAGTAGGCTGTCAAGATACCACCGCCAAGGATGCCTAGCCACATCTGCCAGACATGTTAGCAATATTTGATGAGCCGGCATCATATGACCTACAGTGGGTGAAGTCATCTTGTGACTTATGCATGAGCCAAACTCATCCTTGTATTGATCAGGACACCCCGCGATATCAAGTGGGGTACTCTTTGAGCCCGCAATGGCACCAATGCCCGCGTTGTTGCTCAGTCCGACTTCTGCAAGAAAGAGTCCTATACCACATGCCGCGGCGATCTTGAGCGATACTGGTATGATCTTGACGAGCCATTGTCGCATGCCAATCAAGGACAAGAAGATGAATATGAAGCCCTCTGCAAAGACAGCAGTGAGCGCAAGGTTGTAGGAGATGAGGCCTTGGCCATGGAAGCCGACGATCTGGTAGGCGAAGTATGCGTTGAGGCCCATACCCGGTGCAAGACACACGGGCATGTTGGTGAAGAACCCAAAGAGGAAAGAGCTGAAGCCGGCTACGGCAGCTGTAGCGGTGATGAGGTTGCGGTTCAAATCTGAGCTTGGATCAGCTGAAGTTGTTGAGAGTGTAGACGTTTCCTACCCTGCTTGCAAATGAGGTATTCCGTGTTCGTTAAGCACAGAGGGTCTGTGGCATCATTGCACACGCAATTACCGCCTGTATCAGCGAGGATAGTAGCCTAGGCTCGTTAGTATTTTGCGAGACATAATCCTTCGAGAGCTTTACATTGACCGCGATGATGTATGCCATTGTGAAGAAGGACGTAAGTCCTGCCCGCACTTCGGTGGTGAACTTCGTATGCAGGATCTCATCTTTCTGTGAAAACAGTCAGTCATGTCCGAGATATTACTACAACTGTCAACATACATGCCCGCAACCGGAGAGACGGAATATCCTGCCGAAAGTCGACCGGCCGAC